TCTCTCTCTCTCTCTCTCTCTCTCTCTCTCTCTCTCTCTCTCTCTCTCTCTCACACACACACACACACACACACACACACACACACACATGTAGACAAAGAGAGTAACAGAGAGAGACACACAGAGCGAGGGATACACAGAGTCATATCGGGAGAGAGGAAGAGAGTGAGAGAGTGAGAGAGTGAGAGAGTGAGAGAGTGAGAGAGCGAGAGAGTGAGAGAGAGGGTTGTGTTAGAAAGAGCGAGAGAAAGAAAGGCACAAAGAGTCCTTCCTGCCCTCCTGATCCATCAGGCCATGGCAGGGCTGGAGTCGGCCTGACTTTTTTTGGTTCAAAAGGAAAAGAAGTTTGGTCTGAGAATGGTTCAAAATAGTGACTCAAAAACCCACTCCACTCAATCGTGAGGGATTCCATCTTGTTCCGGTCTAGAACAGGACCAAACAACATGTTGTCTGCGTGAGCTTCTGAAGACTATGAGTGACACTGTTGTCCTCATCAAGTGGGTACAACCCTGGAATCTCATGGGACTTGAACTCTTAACCTGAAGATAGACCAACAAATCCAAGCGAGCACCGTTGAGCCACACCGGTAGGCACCTTGCCACCGGAATATATGGCATCTGGGATTTGAGTCCTTGCTCGATCCCGCGCCATCTGCGATTTGAGTCCTTGCGCAGCAGGAGGGGAAAAAGTTGAGGCCAATCGAGTAGTACATGAGTAAGAAGATGCCATCTCAAAAGCTAAGTGCACTTGCGAGCGGGATCTCTATGGCCTATACAAAGCGTTGACTCACTAAGAAGCATGGCTTGCCAGAGTTGGAAATTTTGGTCACATTTACCTCCTTGGCAGATTTTTCTATGTGAGATCTGACCATGAGACTCTTCGCTGGATTAAAATGCACCTTGGTCTTCCGGATGCACTGAAAAGACGGGTATAAAATATAGATATGTATGACTTCAAATCGGAGCGTTTGAAAAGAGAGTAACACGGTGGCAAACACTTTATATCTAGAAAGGCAGATTACTTGGGTGCGCTAGCGACCGAGTTTGGTATCTCAGATGGTGTTACTCCATCGAGGGTAAAAGCCTTATCGAGAGGACCCGTTGATGTCTGAGATCATGTGCAAGCTCGAGGCCAAAGATAAGGCCACATCCGACAAATTTGTGCTGGTAAATGGCTTGATGTCCCTCGAAAAGGCTGGGAATAAAAGACTGTGTGTCCCGTTTAGAGAGTTTTTGCTTAATTTATTTTTAGGAGAATGCCATGACGCACCCGGTCATTTTGGCTTCAAGAAAATGTCAGCGAACTTAGTGCAGCGTTTTTGGTGGCCCACGATGTTGAATGATGCAAAGAAGTACGTAGAAACATGTCAGGTTTGTCAGCGTGACAAACCGAGAACGCAAGCACCACTTGGGCCTATCAAGCCCTCACCTATTCCAGCCGGTCCTGGGCAGAGCGTGCCCATGGGCTTCATGGGCACGCTCTGGACATCATGGATACCCTGGTGACCGGCAAGTGGGAAAAGGCACATCTTCATTATCATGGACAGATTTTAGTAAGTACGCTAGACTGATCACTATCCCTGAGACCGCCAAAACTGACAACGTAATGAAGCTGTTTATAGATAACTGGGAGCGTGATTTTGGTCTTCCTAAGTCCATCCTTAGTGACAGAGACGTCAGATTCACAAGTGAGTTGTGGCAGAGCACGGCCAAGCAGATGGGAACCCAACTGCAAACAACATTGGCGAATCACCCAGAGTCCGATGGCCAAGCAGAGCAGATGAACCGGGTAGTGCAGCACTTGCTTCGGCATCAGCTCAAACCGAGCCAGGATGACTGGGATGAGAAGTTACCTCTCATCGCCGGCCCGTACAACAACGATGTGCACAGCACTACCGGCATGACTCCCAACCAGCTGCATCTTGGCTGGAAGCCCAGATCAGCTCTTGACTTTCTGCTGCCCAAGAACCAGCCCACTGCATCACATGGCAGCATTGAATCCGCTGTCAAGTAGGTCAAAATGCTGCAGCGGGCTGCGGAACAGATTAGAAAAGCTGAAGATGCGATGGTAGAATCCGAGAATAGGCACAGATGGCCATCTACATTTCAGGTAGGTGAAAAAGTGTGGGTCAAGTCATCGAACTGGGACAGGAACTGAGTATAGCTAGAAAGCTCATGCCGCAGTACTTTGGACCTTGGGAAGTTCTGGACGTAGTCGGCGATGAACCAGACGGGCTGTCGTATGTCATCCGAATCCCTGGGCACCTACGCACACAACCCGGTTCCCATGCCTCCAAACTCACTCCTTTCACTTAGACAGACAGATTCCCTTCAAGGAGATCCATGCTGCCCCCAACCATGGACGAACAAGTTGACATCAACGATATCATCGAGCACAAGGTGATGCCTGTCCCAAGGCCTCCAGACAGGGGTCGACCTCCTAAACCGCAGATGCAGTACCGAGTGCGGTTCAGACATCATGTTAGTTCACAAGAGAGGAGTGACTTCTCCACAGGTGATCTCTGGGTATGAAAGAAGATTGAAAGGGAAGCAGCTTGCTGATTAAGGACTTCTCAAAGGACTATCGAAGTAATGGAGGAGGGAATGCGAGGAACGTTGTCCTCAGCAGGCTTTGGTGGGGCCCTGCTGCAAGACCTGTGCCCACCCTAAGTGAAGGCGGGCCTGCTTTCCTCGGTGAAGGCCTGGGCTTTGACAATTTCCAGGCCCTGGTGGGCGCCAGACAGTCACCACCTGCCAATTGTTACATGACCCGTGCTCGCGAGCAACAGAGACTTCCACGAGCCTTCTAGGCTCTTCTGGGAGGGATGTAGAAGCAGGCCTTTCGGCCGATCACAGCGCAGGAAACACCTCTGGCCACATCTGGGAGTCGGGAGCCCTTAACTGTTGGGTCCCAGGCCACTGTCTGAATCGGGCCTGGTCGCAGACACTTTGGCCCAATGTGAAGCTACTGGGCGCACGGGCCTCCCGGTCCAGGCTGCCTTCAGGCCAGGCATGCAGGCACTTGCTTCACATGCGGCAGTGCTGCTAGCACGAGCGCTCAAGGCCGCTGGCAGTGAGAGCCGGGCGCACGCGGACGCTTGAGGGAGGAGCGCTGCTTGTGCAGCGCTGTGCCATGCCAGCCATAGCCGGGCTTGGGCACAAGGAGGTCAGTGGGGTATGGTGGTGGTCATTCGGTTGTGGAAGAAGCTGTGGGTGGAAGTTGGGGGTGACCATTGAGAGGGCGAGTGGGGGAGAAGATGTGAGGGCACGTACCTGGTCGTGGCGGAGGTCTGGATGGTCAACATCTGCATGTTCTTTGGTTGCTGCTGTTGACGTTAACTGGTTGCTTCATCACTTCAATAGGCTAGTATAGGAGCTGTACAATCGTAGTCTGGGCGCTGAGCGCCATAGGAGGAAGGGCTTCACATACGTTGTCGGTGGTGGCGAGAGAGGGTGTTCATTGACAATAGAGTTCGTTGCTTTGGTTCTCCTGTGGTGTCATTTCGGAGCATTTCTGCTTTCTGGACAGTTCAGGGCTATCTGGCTTTCAGTGTGATGCTGCAATTTGGAATTCTGTAATTTCGCGATTGCTCATTTTCCTTTTACGACAGCCTCGAGATAAAACAATACACAGGCTGACCCATTGCATCAAAAGCAAACACAAAAAGGTCGAGGGGGGTTAGAAGGGTTTGAAGAAGGGGTTAGAACGGGTGTATTGAAGGGCAATTGTTTTTTCTCAATTTGGTAGGGCACTTAGTGGTGAACCTCAGACAAAGGCAGCCTGTATTCCGACTTTAAATGACAAAATATTTCTGGATTTTTTAAGGGAATCTTCAAATATTCCACGAATTCTGGTCCTGCGCACTGTGACCGACAAGTGGTCAAGCTGGTTGTCAGGCCCAGACATCCGATCTGGACCCAAACAACCTGACGCCTGCCCAGGTTGCGAATTCTGCAAGGCAAGGAGGAGATTCAGCCAATCAGCCACTTACAAGGGGATTATTCAGCACCAAGGAGGAGAGAAAGACAAAGAGGGAGGGTGGGCGAGGGAGGGTGGGCGAGGGAGGGAGGAAGGAAGGAGGGAGCGGAGGAGCGAGGGAGCGAGGGAACACAGGAGCGAGGGAGAGAGGGAGCGAGGGAACACTGGAACGAGGGAGCGGGGGAACGTGGGAGGAAGGAGGCAAGGGAGCGAGGGAGCAGGGGAACCCAATAAGGAAGCGAGGTAGCGAGGGAGCGAGGGAACGCAGGAGCGAGGGAGTGAGGAGGGACGGAGGAGAAGAGGGACGACGGCAGGAAGGGAGGGACAGAGGAAGGAAGGGCGAGAGGGAGGCAGAGAGGGAGGAAGGGAGGTCTTTCTTTCTTTCGCATTTTCTCCATGTTTGCAGTTGAATCCTACCACGTCCGGTAAGGACTTAACTGTCTCTTTCACACTTCTTATACTGACTCGGTCATGGTCGACTGTTGCAGCCAACATTTGACCTGTCCTTATTGCAGTTGACTGCCAAAGCCAAAGTTGACTTCCACAGCCACAGTCAATCGTCACAATCATGGTTTAAACCTGCGTAGCACGGCGAACGTGTTCGCGCCCCTTCACGTTCGCGCGAACGTGTTCGCGTGTTCGCGCGAACAGCTTGCGAACATGTTCGGGCAGACATTTTTTTTTCGTAAAAATAAAAATAAAAAAATAAATCGTTTCGGTTTTTTATTTTTAGCTCGTGATTGGCTATGAATTTGAGCATGACTCCAAGGCAAAAGTTGCTTGTATTGTTATTTTACATAACATATGTTTTTTTTTCAGATTTTTCTGAGAACTTTTTTTTTTTTTAATATTTTTTATGTTCGCGTTCGGAGGGTTTTGGCCGCTTGTTCGCGTTCGGGCGAACATGTTCGCGTTCGCCTCCGAACGCGAACACGGTGCTACGTAGGTTAAAACACAGTTCCTAATTTGTCCGCACGCAAGTGTAATCATTGCCTCAATCAGTATTCCACACTGAGCGTCGAAGTGAAAGTCGACTTTCACCAGGTCGTCTTTACGTACCTTGTTTACATGAGGCCAAAGTTCCTTGAGCTCAAAGTTGATCCACTTCACCTAAAGCATAGATTGAAAAAAAAAAAAAAAAACGGATTAGATGGATATAAGATTAGATGCACAGTAGATGGATAAGATAAGAGCAATATAAGATGGATTCTGTATACATTGTCACAGAACTATTGACTAAGAGCGCAAGCACGTGAAGCAGAAGAAGAAATAAGATGAGCGAAGAAAAGAAAAATGAAAGGACAGACAGGCAAAGAGACGGACAAACCAGAATGACACAAAACAGTGTCCTCTTATTCTTTGTTTCACTGTATTCTTATTTCTTTCCGTGTTTTACAAAAGAAAACTACACTGAACAAGGGATAAAAGACAAAAACAAAGACACATTGAAATCATTCAGTTTCTCAGTCTTCTTAACGCCTCCTCCACCGTGCCTCTAACGTACAAGGCTCGCCACGTTGATGTAGTTGACCGGGAGCTGCCCCCATCCCCGTATGCCATAACAGCCCACTTGCACGCTATGGGAAAGAGGCAGAGTGAAGGAAGCGGTGTTAAACACAAGGAAGAGAGGAGCAGAAAAGGAATACTGATAGGCAGAGGGAGAAAAAAATAAAATAAAAAATTGACATAAATATCTTCTTTCTTTTACTGCATTCTTCTTTCTTTCACAGTTTTGCAGTTTTGGTGAAGAGTCTACCACGTTCGGTTTTCAGCGCACCTGCACTTCTTCATTTTTCATTCTCATTTTCACCCTTCGGACTTTTCCTTTGAGGGTGTTAGGGTGCAGGGTACAAACAAAGTAAAATGACACAAACTTATGTTCTTCTTTTACTGCATTCTTCACTGTTTTGCAGTTTTAGTGAAGGGTTTCCCACCTTTGCACATTCTTGTACGCTCTTTTCAGCGCACCTGCACATTTTTGTCAGGGTGCACGGTACGTCCAAGTAAGACCCTCAGGACACATAGGACAACTGTCATAAGGATGCGGGCGATGGTAGCATCCCTCCCGCTGATCTATAGGACGAAAACCATTCAGGAAAGCAACTTCATCACAGCAGGAGCCAGGGCGGCTAGCATTAACCATCACGTGGATGACAAGTTTAGCGCTGGCTGGCCCCATCCCCGTGTGTCACCAGAACCCACTTGCACGCAGCCAAAAGGCAAAGAGGTAAAGAAAAGGAGGAGGAAACCAGACCTCACAGAGGCAAGAGAAAGAGAAAGGGATCCAATCAAAGAACAGACAAGGGAAGAAAGCAAATGACACATCCCACAGATAAACCAATTGCCACTGTCACTACAAGGGTCAACATATTCTTTTATTTTATTCGTTCTTTTTTCTTGTTTTCTTTTTCTTTTCTTCAGAGATTTGTATTTTTTTTTTTCTTTCTTTCTTTCTTTCTTTTTGTTTCAATTTTTTTCTTTCTTCTTTCTTCAACTCCACATCTGTTGCTCCTGATCGCTTGATTCTATTGATCAGTCAGGAAGAGGAGCCCCCACCCCAGCATATAGGACAGGCACGCTGAGGACGACGTGGATGTTCACAAGGATACCCAAGGACAGCTACTTCGGCACACCATTCAGCAGGACGGCTAGCACGGACCATCCCATCCCATCAAAACAGTCCTGACAAAGGACATGCTGTCCACATGTCAAAAAAACAGCAGGACGTTCATATATAGAACTGCCCGGTAAACCGTAGGCAGAGAGAGAGAAGAGGACAACAAACGAGGGGCTGTGACAAACTGTTTCGTCGGAGTTTCACCGACTCATCAGGAGGCTAAGGGATTTATGATGGACATAAGATGAATATGAAATGAATACTAGATGACCCGTTGCAGCTTCGCCCGCAAAAACAGAAAACTAAAAAGCACAAAAGAAAGAAAAAGCATAAGGAACTGCCCTATCATATGCCGCTTCTTTCACAAAAACAAAAAGAAGGGCCTGAGAGCATACAGAAATCCGCGTGCAAGAAATAGGAGGGAATACCACCGAACTTCTTTTGTTTCTTATCTGCGAGTGTTTTGTTTGGGAAGCCGCTGCCTTTGCAGCATCATTTTTCTTTGGTGCTGTGCAAGAACTGTGAACTTTTATGAGAAAATCCTGTCTGTAGTCCCGTTGACGTTTTTGCTAAAGATTCCGATTCAGACTTTTGTTTTCTATCTTCTCTGAATATGTTTGTGATAAAGCGATCTTGCATGTATGCCTCCTGCTTACTTGCCAAGTCTTGACTCTATGTGCGCAAGTGCATGCGCGTGTGGGTGAGTTCTCTCAGGTTTGCGATCAATCGATCTTCCATGTATCCCTCTTCCCCGGGCCAATCATCAATGACATGCGCTTGTTGTTGAGTTGGTGTAGTCGAATGATGTCATTGATGATTGGCCCGGGGAAGTTGTTGGAAGGCGCCTCCAACAACAATAGGAGTGCCACTGATGTTAAGAAGCAGGGGTTTCGCATTGTATGAATGATCAAACAAATAGCAGCATTCAATCTGCTTGGCAGTTGCTCTTCGTGTGGGGGACTTGTCGGGAGTAGCATTGACATGGGAGCCATAATGCCTGGCGTGCATCTTGGAACATTTCCAGGAAGGCAAAAGGCAAAAAAGATACGTAGCACGTGTCAGAGTCACATAATGGACAGCTTGGCACAGTCCCACCCCCCTTCTCTCTCTCTCTCTCTCTCTCTCTCTCTCTCTCTCTCTCTCTCTCTCTCTCTCTCTCTCTCTCTCTC